GGGCAAGCGATTTTATCAAAGCGAACATAATAGGCGGAGAGAAGCGGAAAAGGGAATGTGCAGAAGTAGACGGGAAGGGAGGGAGAGAGAAAGAGGGATCTGGAGAGAACAATGAAAAGGAGGATGGATGAGGTGATGAGAAAGAGTGCCCTTTGCATGCCCTGAACTCTCCGTTCCTTTCATTTCTCCTTCCTTATGAAGATGAATAGGGTAAGAGAAGAGGAAGAAGGCGAAGGGCAAGGAAGTAAGAGAGGCGAGCGAAGGAGGAATTCTCCTTTCTTCTCCGAACCGTCTTCCCGCATCTCACCGCTTCCTTTCTGTTGTCTGCTCTTCTTTCCTTATGTCTTCGCAGAGCCCTTCCTCCTTATCCTTTTCTTTCCTCTGGTCATTCAAAAAGGAAACGATGAGGAGACGCGAACTGATTCTCCTTGCTCCTTCTTACCACACTCTGCTTCTCTACATCCCCCTGCTTTCTTTATACTCGGTTTGGTGTTCATGTCCTCAAGAGGCCCCCTTAGGGAGGAAGTTGGTGGCCTCCAGAAAGTTGTGGAAGTGCCTGAAGGCGCCTACAAGCCTCCTCAAAGCCCTCGCGAGGCCCGGAGTCCTTTGAGATACGGCAACACTGGTACTCTCTCGCTTCCTCTTCTGTGTCCTTCTTCCTAGTCTTCCTCGTTTCTCTTTCTTTCGCACTCGACTTCCCCCGACTTTCTCTTATCCACTTTCACCTATTGCCTCGCTTCAGTCCATGCCCTAGCCTTCACTCCTTTCCAGACCCTTCTGACATGAGTAAGCATCAGGAGAATGAGAGGAGGAGGTGAGAGGGACGAAGAACAGCTCTCTCCGTTACTTTCTCTCATCCGCTTTGACCCCTTCCCTTTCCTAGCTCCATGCATGCCCTGCGCTAAGAGAAAAACAAGAGAGCAAAGAGGAAGAAGAGGAGAATGGGGCTTCCGCCCTTTCAATACGTAGCTTTGGCTTACGCTTCTTCTGGCCACCCCTTGCCCCCTTCTCTTATCTTCCTCTCTCTTCTTCCTCTGCTGGGCTTGAAGCTCTCCCTCGCTCTCTCTGTATCTCTCTTCTTTCTGTCATTTCTCAATCTCGTCCTTTCCCTTGTCCACTTTCCTTCCTGGTTCCCACTTTTCCGCCAGACAAGAAAATCAAAGAAAGGAGAGCGGGCGAGCGGTGGGAGAGGAAGGGCACAAGGTGAGTGAAGAGGAGAACACTTCTTCCTCGTCTCCCTCCACAAGCTCTTCCTGGTTTATCACCAATGAGACAGTGTGATAGGACAAGAACAAAGAATGAATAGACGTGGAGGTCAAGGCACTGTCGGCTGCTTTATGCATCGCCTCCTCTTTCTGTCTCTCTTTTTGATTATCTTTCCCCCATATTTTCTCTCTTTGTTTCTGTATTTCGTCCCTTATGGCTCTCTCTCCGTTTCTTTTGTCTGTTTTCTTACTCCCTTGTCTTTCTCCTTGTGAGTCTTCCTTCTTCCTTCTGAGTGATAAGGGGAGAAGGACGGGAGGCAGGGAAGGGAGGAGGAGAAGGAACAGGGCAAGCGATGGGACAAAGAGAGTGAGAGAAAGTTGAAGATAAGTATCAAATCAAGCATAATGTAGTAGGCGAGAGAAGTGGAAAAGTAAATGTGCAGAAGTAGAGAGGAAAGGATGGAGGGAGAGAGAGAGAGCGAGAGAGAGAGAGAGAGAGAGGGGGAGATGGACAACGCAATGAACACGATGAAGGAGGAGATTATGAGGAACAGTGTCACTTGCTCTCCCTGAGCTCTCCGTTCTTGTCGCTTCTCCTTCTAATTGTGAAGAAGGATAGGAGCAGAGAAAAGAAGGCAAGGGCAAAGAAAGTCAAAGAGCCGAGTGAGGGAGGAATCCACCTTCCTTCTCCCAACCATCTTCCTCCATCTTATGTCTTCGCTTCTGTTTTCTATTCCTTCCAGCAAGGGAGCAAGGAAAGAGGGGACAGAAGAGATGAGAGAGCGAGACACGGCAGAGAGGAAGACAGAGCGAGAAAAAGAGAGAGAGAGAGAGGCGGAAGAGAGACAACGCGAGAGGAAATGAAAAATCGAACCACGTCGAGAGGAACTGACGTCGTCCCTTTGCCCCTCCCTCGCGTTACCCCTGTCATTGACAGCAGAAGGCGACAAGAAAAGAAACAGAAAAAGGATCAATCAAAGGAAGGAGAGAAGGGAGAGACGAGAGAATGAAGAGTTCACTTCGTCCATCTTCATGCCTATTCCTCTGTCATGACTTCAATTTCTGTGTCTTCTTGACAAACGGCAGAGTGGATAGGCAGGAAGAGGAACGGGAATGAGAGAAAGACACAGGACGAGAAATACACAAGACAGATTCTTGATGGTTCCCGGCGCGAGAGGGACGGGAGGACATTGTGATAGACTGTGATAGACCCTAAAACCAGCACGGAGAACTTGTGAGAGCGTAAAACCATCTAAATCCTCATAAACTCCAAACCTTAGATCTTCCATAGTATACTGACCCCGGTAAACCATAGTTAGGAGCTAAGACCCTAGACCCTTAAACTCCTGTCGAGACCTTTACACTGTACACGCTTCGGCCTCCCGATGTCACCGTCGTGCCAGACCTTGTCGTCGCCGTGTTGAACCCAGTCGTCGTCGTGCTAAACCGAGTCGTCGTCGTCCTTGTCGCCGTGGTGTTGTTGCAGTTTAAATACAAAGCCCAGCAGGATTGCCAAATAGACCCTAAAGGTCCATGCCACAAAGCCCTAAACCTAAACCCCAAACGGAACCCTAAACTCGAGATTGCTACAAAGGAACCCTATAACCCTAAATTAAACTCTACACCCCAAAACGAAGCCTAAACTCAAAATTACTTCGTAACCCTAAACCCTAAACCCTAAACCCAAAGCCCTAAAGCCTGAACCCTAAACCCTAAACCCCTAAACCCTAAACCCCTAAACCCTAAACCCCTAAACCCCTAAACCCCTAAACCCTAAACCCTAAAAGGAACCGTAAGGCTTCAGATCTCCTCGAACGATGGAGCTCCCCTTCGTCCGCCGCGCCACGGGCCTAAGAGCACGGCTTAGGGTTTAGGGTTTAAAGGGGTTTAGGGGTTTGGGGGTTCAAGGGTTTTGGGGTTCAAGGGTTTAGGATTTGGGGTTTAGGGGTTTAGGGGTTTAGGGTTTAGGCGTTCAGGGTTTAGGGGTTCAGGGGTTCAAGGGTTTAGAAATTAGGGTGTAGGGTTTAGGGGTTTAGGGTTTAGGGGTTTAGAGTTTAGAGGTTCAGGGGTTTAAGCGTTTAGGGCTTAGCAGAAGACATGGTCAAACCCTGTAGACACCCATGAGGCATTGTACGCTCATGGAAGCCTCTTACATCAGCAGGATGAAAGTTTTGTCGCACTAAGATGTCTTTGCTTGGCGGAGGACTCGGAGTACGAAGAAGTGCGTTTTACGTGGCCTGGCTAGCGGAGGAATTACCATGCCAAAATAAACATACACTGTTTTTTTGTTCCGACGGAGGAATTAGTGACGTCCTTGCCTGACATCGCGACTTCGTGAAGGAGTCTATGGGCGAAAGGGGTTTGCAAGTATGTGTTAGCAGACCTACCGGATGCGACGAACTTTCGTCCTGGCGCAGTATGCGCTAAGCCCGCTTAAGCCCCAACCCTATAAACCCGCCCTGAACCTTATTGAAACCCTAAACTCCCGTGACACCCTAAGCCCTACACTACACCCTGAACGCCCCTTACACCCTAAACCTCCTCAACCCGAAACCCTAATCCTAAACTTCAAAAACACGAAACCCCTTAGACCTTAAACCCCTGTAAACCAAACTCTAAACCCGACTTAACCGAAACCCCCAGAAACTCCATCATCCCTGAACTTATAAACTATAGAAGGGTCCGCAATATGATTTAAGGCATGTTCCTTTAATTGAGGGATATTATTGGGGTCCCCGAAACCCTAAACCCTATAGATCCCTCATCGCTCCATTGAGGGAGCCTTAGGTCTTCCCTTATGTAATTCAGCGACATTGGAGTCTCTGGGCCGACCCCAAAGGGTCCTATGTACTGTTAGGGGGGGATACCTCCCTAAGGCATATATGATGGTAATTCCTATTATGGAAGCCCTACGTTCTACTATATCGGTACATACTGTTGATGATACAAATCCTGCATTACCTTAAGGACCCTAAACTATGAGAATTATGGTATATTCCTTAATTATTATGGGTCATGCAGGATTTATATCATGAACCGTAGGACCCTTTGGGTACTAACACCCGACTCTGAGCTGTGGACCGGAGCTGGGGCTTTCACGGCGTTGCGCGCCAGAAGCCCAGCCACCTCCACCGAGAGATGGAGTTTAGGGTTTAGGATTATAAGGTTTAAGGCTTTAAGGTTTAGGGTCTGGGAAATTAGGGTGTAATGTATAAGATTTTATTGTTTAGAGTTTAGGGCTGTGAGGTTTAGGGTTTGGGAGTTTAGAGTGTAGGGTTTAGGAGTTTAGGGTTTAGCGGTTAAGCCCTGACCCTAAAGCTGATACCCTAGATACCCTTAAAACAAAAGTCCAAAATCCCACACCTGCACTCTGAAATCTTAAGCCGAAGCCCTGTGTCCCGAAGCCTAGACACTCTCTGCGATTGCAAGAATGATTTCATAGGATGCAATAGTGTCTTCCTTTGGATTCAGGATCTCAAGTACCTCTACTTAAAGGATCATGGGATTTGGCAACTGAATTCTTATTTGGGGTAACTATACTTACAGTTGCGTAAACCCCAAACTAATGAAGGTACTTACGACCTTACTTGCTTACGAGGTCCCATGATCCTTCAAGTAGCCTACTTGTCGAAATTCATGGGGAACTAAAGGTTAACCTTTCTGGTTATATGGGATTATGTAGGGACTATACTACCCAAAAAAGGTTAAAGGTTGCCAACGCTACTACTAGGGTAGTGATTATGAGCCGGGCTGACGAACCCACGGTTTATGAGTTCAGGATGGTAGGAACTTAAACTAAGCCCATCCGGACCCAGGGGTGCTGGTAATGAAGGGGCCTTCAAAGTTAGAATAGGGTTGAGGGTAGTTATCTAGGCCCCTACAAAATCCCTCAAAGGAGCCCTTCTAGTACCCTTTAGAGGAACCCTAAATCCTAATGGTCATTATTTGGGCCCTAGAGGTAGGGTCTACGGCTTCAGAAGCTTGGGCTTTGAAGCTCCGAGGTTTTCAGGCCCCAGTTTAGTTGGAAAACCAGGTAATTCTGTTGATGGACAAAATCCTGCATGACCCTAAAAACTCTAAACTATAGGAACTATGGTATATTCCTTACAATGGGTAATGCAGGATTTTGTCCATCAGCAGTTACGGTTTAGGGGTGATTAAAGGGTCTAGGGCCCAGTGTAGGGTTTAGGGTTTAGGGCCCAGTTTGAGGCCATGAAAAGACCGGCTAGGGATGTTGAGGGTTCACGTCGCACCTCGAGCATTCGCGTCGCGGCATGCCAATGCACCTCAGATTGTCGTCGGTTTTCTCTGCATTCTTCTCAGGGTCCAGGGTATAGGCTGGGCCTAAGACTTAAACCCTGTCGGAAACACTCTGATCTTGGGTGGTTTCCCAGATCCTCAACTGCCCTCCTAGAAATAGGGGCCTTGATAAGTACCTGGAATAGTTTCGGTGGTACTATAACTTCAATATATTTCGACTATGGCTTAAGGCTCTTGCTATCGAGGCCTGCACGAGTTCCACTAAGAGCCCTGGCGGATCTGCAGATATGCCGCAGTCCAAACGATAAGGAAACCCCTGCAATGCCCAATGCCTTCGCGATGAAGACCTCAAGTGCATCTTGACTGCTAGACTACGAAACATAAAATGCAATACCGGAACTCTGAAACCGTATGCTAGTATTAAGAACGCCCTACACTCCCTACACCCTAAGCTCTAAACACCTAAACCGCGCATCTCACATAGCCCCCCCAACTACCCTGCCTCTAATACACCCTACGTACCCACTATTAAGGACCATAAGGGCTCCATTACAGGGTACTTGGGGGGTTCTTGCATGGCCCTCCTCCCTAAACCCTACCTTAACCCCGAAGAACCTACATTTTTAAGGACTCATCTACAGAAATCATTATGAGGAACCTGACAAAGGTAGATTATTCGGGGTTAAGGTTAACCCTAAATCCTCCGTGGCAAGCGGCATGCTCGACGCCGTGCCCGGCGAGATTCCCAAGCGTGCCTGCAATTGCACGGTTGAAGAACCTGGGCCGCAGTTCGGGGCTTACTTGAAGGCTAATGGGTAGTGATAGGTGCGGCTATATATGAAGGCTACCTACCCATATATATATATATATATATATATATACTCATAAGCCGTATTAGGGACCTTATGACCCTGATTGAAACTACCCATGAACCCCTCCAAGTGGCGGGGTTTTAGGGTGCAGGGTGCTTGTGTAACGGTTGATGATATAAACCCTGCATGACCCATAATAAGGAATATACCACAATTCCCATAGTTTAGGGTCCTTAAAGATAATGCAGGATTTATATAGAAGCACCTTTTTCCACCTGCTACAGAGTCTGCAACCTGTCGAAGGCACCGAAGGAACAGGTAGGGGTTACGGGCTCGGTGGGTTCGGTGGGTTTACAGTTTACCCTAAGGCTCCATGTACCCTTATAGTATATACTTAGGCCTTAAAGTGCCTAAAAAAAGGGACCCTTTAAGGCTTAAGTATCTACTATGAAGATACATGGAGCCTTTGGGTTAGGGTTTAGGCTGAACCTGAACCCAAGCTCTAAACTAGAGGCCCCAACCCTACTTAGAGGATCATGGGACTTAGTAAGTAGGTTATAACTGGGGTTATAAGTCCCCTAAGTAGGGCTATCATAATTATAACCTACTTATAACCTTACTTACCAAGTCCCGTGAGCCTTCAAGTAGACCCTCAAACCTGGACCCTGAACCCTAAACAAACCCTACTAAGCCGTAAGCCCAAAAAACCAAAAAGCATGGTATGCCTCAGCGTTTCTTTGCGCAGCTCGAGGGCCCAACGAATCTCGACCGGCACCGAAGTTCCAGTGTGCCTCTGGAGGTAGGGGCTTAGGAAAAAAAGGGGCCTAGGATTCGGTAAGGGGTCTACACATCTGTAGAGGCTCGTTAATCTCGGAGGTCGTTTCGGGTTTGAGGTGCCGAGGGCTTTGTTTGACCTAGTCCGCAATCCCTCTATGAACCCATTGTTTCAATACAGGACCCATTATTTCAATCCCCGTCCGAAATCCCTATATGAACCCATTGTTTCAATGTAGGACCCATGTTGAACCCTTTCAAGCCCGTATGAAAATGGAGGGCTTGGGGCCGGCATCGGGCGGTGTATCCGCACTAGCCCAGGCTCAAAGACTGGTCGAACCCTGGAAACAAACCCGAAGAAGAAAAGCTCGAGGGTTCCAGAAGCCTCGGGTCGTCAATAGGCTCTTTATATAATGTGGATCGAAACATTCTGTTAAGCCTAGACTACAAAGTTTGTGACTGGAGTCGATTGGGGTCTCATAGACCCACTATACAGCGGTGTTAAGACCCTTGTGCGACTGCTTCATAGCTTGCCAAAGACCTTATTCAAGCGTTGCTGAACCCTAAAACACCCTACAATAACACCTAATTCCTGATAAAGCCCTTCAGAAGCCAGCCGCACCCTTAACCATGTTCTAAACCCCCCTTAACCCCTAACCTTTACACCTTAAACCACTAGACCATTTTGCAGCCAGGATGCGACACGGAGCAGCACCACCACGAGAAGTGAGGAGAGCGAAATGTCGCGGATGGACCTGGCTTCAGCTGTTTTGCAAGGTTTCGTAGGTTTTGTAGGGTTTGTGGTGTTGTAGGTTTGCTATAGAAACTCAATGTAAAGGAACCCTGTTCTAATTGTTATGGCTCCTAGTTATAGTTCAACCATGTTCCAACAAGGGTGGCATTGAAGGATGGCGGGCTGATGAATCACGTGGTTCCTAGCAGCTTCTTTTTCCTTCATGGTTGCCATCTCCGCGACGTGAGGCGGCACAAAGAACTCTGCCTTCGCTTGTCCATGTGGTGTTCTCTTCTTCTCTGCATCGCCAAACCCAGGGACTCCAAGCCATATCCTAAATCCTGAATTCTAAACCATACTATACTGAACTTGGTAGCATTGCTTACAAACGCAATTTTAGCTGTTTCTTAGGGGTTATAGTAAGCACAAATATAAATTGGAAATCGTTTTCAAGTACCCCTAAGCCTAAACCCAGATGAAAACAAGCCAGAAAGGCCCTAAGGCCCTAAGGGTCCATGTACCCAAATAGTATCTAGACCCAAGAGTAACCTAGGAATAGAAAGGGTGCCCTTTTTGGTTTAAAGGGGCTTATAAGGGAACCTGAATCCTAAAAAAGGGAATAAGGGGCTACTCTAGGTCCTAGGTATAAAGTAGTCCTTACATAGGTACTTTGCGGCATATGTACATACATACTTTTGGGTACATGGACCCTTATGCTAAACTCTGATAGAACCCGTTTCTATGGATCCCTTAAAGGAGCCCTTATGATACCCTTAAAGGAACCCTTTTTTGGGCGCATGGACCCTTCTAGTTGCCCCAAACCCTAAACCTTTATGGTAAGCCCTTAGAGTAGTACCCTTATGGAACCCTTATAAGAACCCCTAAAGGAGCCCTTATGGATCCCTTCTAGAGGACCCCTTAAGAGGGTACATGGACCCTTACACCCAAAACTACCCTAAACTGCTATAGAACCCTTATAAGGAGATCCCTTGAAGGAACCCTTATAGTACCCTTAAAGGCATCCTTGAGAGGAACCCTTAGCCCCAAGGGTCCAAGTACCTAATTATCATATATTCTCCCAAATCGTAACCTACATAACTACGATCCTAAAACCGAGTACCTAATTATTAAGGCCCATATAATGGAACCCTTACAGTAGCCCTTTTAAAGGAACCTTATAGAACCCTTTAAAGGAACCCTAATTATTGGGTCCTTTGGACCCTTGGGGTAGGGGGCACATGGACCAAGACGGACCTCTGGGAGGCTCCAAGGACGCTGCGCGCATCCTCGCAGCTCGCGCTTCGGAGCGTTCAGGCTCACTTGGAGGATCGTGGGACTTAGTAGGTATAAGCTTATAAGTACCTTAATTGGGGTTATAAGTATAGTTACCCTTATAATTACCCTAGTTACTAAGTCCGAGTCGGAGCGTTCAGGGTTCAGGGCTAAGGGCTGTTTTAAGGCTTCAGGGTTCTTTAAAGGGGTTTAAGTTTTGTTGAAAGCGTTTAGGGCTGGTTTAAGTTTTTGAAGTTGCGGTGGTTTAGGATTTTGGGTTTGGGGTTTTTTAAATGCATGCTTAGGATTCAGGGTTTGGGGGTTAGGGCTTTAGGGTGTACCCAAATAGCACATACTTTGGCCCCAAGGTACCTACATAGGGACTAGCCAAGTATATGCCGCTAGAGAACATGGACCCATGGGGCCTACCAACCCAGAGCCTCCAAAACCCCTTAATTAAGGAATATACCTTAAATCATATAAGGGATCCTATTATAATTTAAGGTATATTCCTTAATTAAGGAATATACCCTAAAATCATATAAGGGATCCTATTATACTTTAAGGTATATTCCTTAATTAAGGGGTTTTGGAGTCCCCTGGGAACATTTACGATGGACGGGCCATAAAGCGGCTCAGGGTTAGGAGGAGCTTCGGCTGGGTTCTGGTAAAGGAGCCTTTGGCTTACAAGGGAGAATAGTAACAACAATAATAGCAAACATAGTAACAACAATACTAACTGTAATAAGCGTAATAACTATAATAACTGTTATATACTATAATAAAAACAGATAAGAAACACATTAATAACTATGAAAACCATACAGGGGACTATATTAGGGCTGTTGTAGCTTGATGTAACTGGGCTTGTTTCTGGCTCGGTGACTTGGAATTACCAGTGCAGGGGCCTGTAGCCCTGGAAGTATGGCTTTCTTAGGTAGGGTTCTTGGTTGAGGGCTTGGGGTAGTGAGGATTTCTACTTCAGTTGCCATAGTACGGTCGTAAGAGGGGGGAGTCCACTTTCAATCACCATCATAGGCGTGTGCGGAGTGAAACATGCTTTCCTGGTGATTTTATATACGTGCATGGTATCTGGCCTTGCCGGTTGAATTACAGAGGCTTTAACAGGAAAGGATTTCGGAGGGGTACGGCTGTCCACAGATCTCTGCAAGTGTTTCGGTTCTGCGTTGATGCTTGCCTTAGCGCTGAGGGTTATTGGGGTTGCAGGGTGTTGGGGTGGCAAACCAAACATAACAAGGCTCTTCGATTCGCGGGTCGTAACTTACACCACACACAACAAGATACACCTAGTGTAACAACATAACACCAAAAGGCACATGTGCATAAACTGTGAAGGCCGGGGCCTTCAAGACGCCTAAGTAACCCCTAAACCCTCGAATCCCTCCTAAGCCCTAACTACACCCTAAAGCCTCTAAACCGTCCCTACTCTGCGCATGAGCGCGGGCCTCGAGGTGCACCACAGAAGCTTGCTCACAGAAGCCCCTGTCCCCTGGAGCCGTTGGGGTTTAGGGTTTAGGGGTTTAGGGTTTAGGGGTTTAGGGTTTAGGGTTTAGGGTTTGTAGAACTGTTTGTTCCTCCTTCGGTGCCAGGCTTCAAGTTGTATACGATCTAGGGTTTGGGGTTGATACGGTTAAGGTGGATAGAGGGTTTCTGGTTTTGGGTTGACGGCCTAGGTTTCATTTTACGGGGCGAGGGGGGGGGGGGTTGCGGGTGTAGGGGTTGGGGCGTGAGAGTGATGGCTGCGTGCTCAACTGTATCTTCGCTTTGTACGGGTGTAGCTTCAAAAGTCAACCCTAGACCCTTAAACCCAAAACCTAAACCCCTGAATCCTAAGTCCCTTAACCCTAAAGTCAAAAGCTTGGAGCTGCAGGCTTTAGGGATTTGGATATGCAACTGGCAGGCTTCCGGCCGTATCTGGGCATCATAACACGCAGCCCTACAAAGTTGGGTCTTGGGGGTCCATGTATAGTTATAGGGCTTCATATGCTGAAAATAACTATTTAAGTGTTTACCATGTCTATCGGCCTGCTGGGACCTCAGAGCTTGGCGTCTGGGATTTGGGGTTTAGGGTTTAGGGGTTTAGGGTTTAGGGTTTAGGGTTTAGGGGTTTAGGGTTTAGGGGTCTAGGGTTTAGGGATTAGGTTTGAAGTAGGTGTTTCCTAAACCCTAAAGCCTCGGCTCTTATCCGTTTGCCTGGTTGACGTTAAGACCTTAAGAGCTGAAGGAGCCTTGCTTGGGAACTTCTGCAACCGGTTCCTCATCACTCTCATCCCCTATTCCAAGATTCACAGCGAAGTGGGTTCACAAGCTCCTCAAAGTCAAGCCTAGGTGGGGCTTTTAAAGCCTTTGAAAAATATTAGTAAATAAGATCCTCTTAAGCCCAATAAGGGAGAATATAAAATGTCCCAAAGCCCTACCTAGAAGCTCAAGCTCTTAGCAGACTGGTCTCCGCAATGTTACCCAAGGCTGTCTCGGAACTCAACACGAAAGCTCGCAATGAAATTAGGAGCTATGGCTGCTGTCGATCCGACAAAGGAGCAAACCCCTGCAACCGGCAGTTCACATTGCCAGACTAATCAACGATTCAAAGGCAGGGATCTGCAGGATATGATCGGAGAAGCTTGGGCAATGCGAAGCAAAGTGTAAAACCCGAAATCCTGGACGCCTGTGAGGCAGAGAAGAACGATGAGCAGGGCTGTGGCAGCTGGTGGGGTAGCCACCTCAGCAGATTACCATGATAGTTAGGCAGCAAGCACAAGTCAAGTTCCTGGGTCTAGCTTAAAAGCATACGTAGACCCCAAAGCCTGAACCTCTAGACCCCTCGTGCTCTGCAAAGTCGCGAACCTGACTCCTGCAGCCCAAGCCCCTCTGCACTTCCTTCAGCCCTCAACGTACAGGATCCTTCTAAATGAATCCTCAAAAGGTCCTCTGAAGGAACCCGTACATGATCCGTTAAAGGGACCCGGAGGGGCATGTTGCCTGTCCATCTATTTTGGGATTGTACGATCATGAGCAATACGAAAAGCACAAGGCAGCCTTTTAAAGAGCGCATCTCGACCGATCTGCGTTTACCCACCCAAATGCCCTAAATCCTGATGCACCCGAAGCCCCACATGCTACTTCCCCGGGTCAGAGATTTAGGACTTCAGCTGAACACTTGGAGCACTGACAGCTGTAGATTGGAATCTCCTTGGCCAATTGCAGTTCTATCCCGGGTATAGGGTTTAGAGTACTACCAAAAACTTCGAAAACCGCGACAGATGTCTGTTACCAACATTTTCCAGCATGACTTAGGATGAGAAGCAAATCCGATAATTACGGAGCGTTCAGCTGCTGCTACCGCCAGTACTGCTACTACCACTGCTACCACAACTGGCGCTCCAACAAATGCTACTACTCCGACGAATACTCCAACTACTCGGACAACCAGTCTCCTCCTCCTTCTCCTCCTCCTCCTCCTCTTACTACTGCTGCTGCTGCTACTACTACTACTACTACCACCACTACCAATACCAATACCACTACCACTACCACTACGACGACGACGACCATCACCTCCACGACGACGACTACGATAATAATGCTACTACTACTACTACTACTACTACTACTACTACTACTACTACTACTCCTACTACTACTACTACTACTACTCCTACTCCTACTACTACTACTACTACTACTACTACTACTACTACTCCTACTACTACTACTACTACTGCTGCTACTACTGCTGCTGCTACTACTACTACTACTACTACTACTACTACTACTACGACTGCTATTACCACTACCACTACCACTACGACGACCACCACCACCACGACGACTACTACTTCTACGAATACGAAGACTACTACGACTACGGCTACGACTGACTTCAACACTATGGCTATGACGACGACTACTACTTCGACTGCTCCGACTGCGATCGCTGCTGCTTGCCGCTTTTTCTACGGCTACCACGACAGCCCTCATCCTTGAGATTTTGGGTCTGGGACCCTAAACCCTGAACCCTAAACCTTAACCCCTAAACCATAAACCCTAAACCCCCAGTGAGATCTGGGTCCCCGGGCCATGGTCGCCTTGTTTTCAGTGGAGGAGGGCAGAGCATTGAGCGCCTCCAACACTGTCGGCAAGACCTGGTGCGCTCAGGGGCGTAGGAATTGAACACTCGAGATTCAAAAAAGGCTTCGGGATCCAGGGTTTATACGTAAGTTTAGGAATTGAACATTCAAGATTCAAAAAAGGCGTCGGGATCTAGGGTTTAGGGCCTACAGTAAGTTTAGGGCTGGGGGCTTGAAGTTAAGAGTTCCGGCTGTTGAGTTTGAAGACGGACGTTTCAGAAAATCCCAAAGTCCGTTCTGCTGCAATTTGGGGGGCCTACCCTATAGGGCGCTCGTGTCGGATCAGAACGGAATCATGAGACCTGTGCTGAACAACTGCCACTAGAAGTTCTGCATCTGCTGCAGGCCGCACCGTCATGGAGAAACTCTGTATCTGGGGGTTTCCGAAAACAGGGGCCCCTAATATAGTATCCTAAATAGCAGGATTCTTATTGTAAGGCCCCCCAAACAAGGGACCCCTAATTTCCTGAAACTCCCATATTTCTAGACTATACCCCCCTTAGAACCATAATACAAATATTGGTGTTAATATTCTCTTGGGTTTCACATGAATTCCTAAGGATATTATAGTAAACCACAAGCCCTCAATCCCAAGTCCCAAACCCTGACCCTTGTTTGTTCGGTTGTGGGAGATGTCACGGCATCACCAGCCATGTTGGCGGCAATGTTGATGTTGATGCTTGCGGCCCTTAGGGCTTGTGGGTTGGGGATTTAGAGCTTGATGCCTATGCCCTTGAAGGTTTAGGGCTTCAGGGCACAGGATCTGGAGCCACCTCTCTCTTTGCTCTGCTAGGGTGTGGACCAAGAACAGTCCCCTCGGCCCGCGCGTTCGGGTAACTTCGTCCTCCATTTGGAGAGGTGGCTCGGCTTTTTTGAAGGAACTTCGCCCCCGCTGCTCGGGTGCCTTCTGACGCTGGTGCCCCCGCTCTCCAAACAAGCAGGATTTCAAGGAGGTGCGAACTACTATAAGTGTTGGCGCCCCAGTTTCCAGCACGTTGGTCACGCTTCTTGAGTCTACTGTATCCAGGTCTCTCGCTCCCTATATATATATATATATATATATATATATATATATCTCTCTCTCTCTCTCTCTCTCTCTCTCTCTCTCTATCTCTCAATTCATGCGCATGTATTTCAAGCGTTGGTTTGCTTGTTCAACTAAGTCTATTTTGCCTACACTTGTTTTATCTATGCATGATCAGACTACAGTCACTCGACTCATCGAGAATATCGAACTCTAAATCCTGAGCCCTATACCCCCACGAGACCGGTCTCTGAAGGTCTACTGCTTAACATGCCTGTGATCAGGACAGCTTAGATGGGAGTTTCCGAAAATAGCGGTACCATATTTGGGGGTCCTTCTAATAAGGATCGTACTATTTAGGGTACTGTACTAGGGTCCCCTAATCTCGGAAACTCCCAGATATGTAACAACCCCCTGGGAGCCCGTAAGCAGCCTTAGAACTTCTAAAGCCCCAGTTGTGTTGAACTCGTGTCTGTAAACGCTTGCGGTTCTTGCCTAGGTGGGTCTTTTAAAGCCTTTGAAAAATATTAGTAAATAAGATCCTCTTAAGCCCAATAAGGGAAAATATAAACTGTCCCAAAGCCCTACCTAGTTGCTAATTCTGCCCTGGCCTTCTCTGGATTGCTGGAGCAGTACTTGCGGAACTTCGGCACCCGCACGACCATGGCGTAGAGTAGGAGGGGATACCCGGGCTCCTTGCAGGTCGTAATCAGCAAAACAGCAAGGGTACCACCACAACAACAACCGCAGCAACAACAGCAGCAGCAACAGTAACAGCAACCGCCACAGCAACAAGCAGCAGCAGCAGCAGCAGCAAAAGCAACGGCAACAGCAAACGCAGCAACAACAGCAGCTGCAGCAGCTGCAGCAACAACAGCAACTGCAACAACAGCAACAGCCACAGCGATAACGCAAAACAAAATCCCGGGTCTCATCATGACCATCATAAAAACCATCCGCGTCAGAAGCAGTCAGAATCCTATCAAGTGTGAACCATTCATCGTCATGATCGTGACCACCACCGTTCATGCATGACAAGACAGCTGCCGGCCTGCAGCTTTTGCAGTATCGCCCGCAGGAGGCGCGGAAAATGTATTGGTGCCGCCAGGACGGAGTACGCCTTGGCCCCGTATTGAGATTGATGGAGGTGCCTCAATAATCATAATTGGGTTCGTTTAAAGGGGTTTTTAGGGGTTACTATCCGGGATCTGTACAGGTACTATGCTGTAGGAGACTTAACAATTAGAAGGAGGGCCGTGGGCCATTAATTACAGGGTCTGCTTACGCAGCTTGAAAGGAAAGGGAAAGGCCTTGCACAGACCTCGTGAACGATACTGAAAGCTTCCATCGGTTTAAGACTTGGCGCCCAGATACCTTAACAGTGTCTAGCTGGTCCAGTATCTAGTCAGCAGTACAGTATTGAGGGCATAATAGTTAGAATAAGGCTTTGTGGGATAATATACTGTCGTTGCAACCCCCAAATACTTTAGGTAAATATTGCGGCCCCTATAGTAGAGCTCCGTGGCTTCCGGAGCCCGAAACCACGGTCGGCTTCGGTTTCGGGTTTCAGAATTTCTCATCAACTGCTGCACCACCCTGCCCGGCATAAACAGGGGAGAAACCAAGCAGTGGCAGCCGGCTCGTTTTGGGGATGAGAGCTTTATTGAAACCTTCTATACCCTAAAGCTCAGTCTTAAGGACCGACGGACAGGGTCTCGTGAAGTGGGTTTCGGGCAGTTCCGAGATCAGGCTTTGAAATTGTTGCAGTAACATGTCTCAGAGGAGATCTTGAGCCTCTGACGCTTGCCGTATGACCGCCCAAACCTGCAAGCACCGAAAACAATGCATCATGCCCTTCTCCTTCAGAAATGGGTAGTATAATTAGGGAGACCCCTTAAAGGGTACCCCTTCTGAACCCCACTTCTGGCTCTCTTAAAAGGGGCCTTATTGAGAGGGTCTATGTCCCCAAGGGTCCCCCTAATCCTAACTCCCAAGAAAGGCCGCTGACCCAAAGATCCCCCAATTTCCGATTACTCAGGTCTCCTTGAACCACCAAATTCGTCTAAAAACACCCCTATAAAGGGAACTCCAGAAAGTTGGAATATGGTTTCATGGTAGGATACACTATAATTTACCTTAAAGGGGTTACGATAATCATATTCCAACTTTCTGGCTTTTGCCTTAGCCCGATAATCCCCATCATTATAAACTCTCCTTGGGATCACAATAACTCCTAGTGCCTGAGACCCCAGCACAGTCGTCTGCGGAGCTCTGCCGCACATCGGCTAAAGAGGCAAATGCTTTGGCCAGATCCGGATGATCCTGTCGGCATCTGTCGGCAGTATGGAAAATGCGCCATCAAGGTACGGGGTGTGGGGCTTGGGGTATGGGTATCGGGTATCAAGCTATCAGGTCATGCGGGCATAGGGTATTAGAGTTTCGGGTTTAGCTGATACTGTAGGCACCTGGGGTTGATTCAGCGTTGAATCTTTACGCTCTTAGTTCACAAGTCATAACTAGGGATCGGACGAAAAAGTATGAGTCAAGACATACTGCTCATGATATAAATCCTGCATTACCTTAAGGGCCCTAAACTATGGGAATTATGGTATATTCTTTATTCTGGGTCATGCACCATTTTTATCATCAACCGTATGGGCTCTCTCCGAACCCTGAACATTAAACCCTTGAGCACAACGAACAACACCCTTAAACCCTGAGCCCTTCACCATAAACCCCAGACCCAAAAAAACCTAAACCCTAAACGGCCCTGAACTCTAAACCCCAAACCCTCTAAACCCTCCAAACCCTCTAAACCCTCTAAACCCTAAACCCTGTAAACCCCTAAACCCTAAACCCTCTAAACCCCTAAACCCTAAACCCTAAACCCTCATGCCCATGTTGCCAACCCTCAAACCTAGCAAATTGCTTTCCTCATAGCTGCAGGCTTCCCGAGCGCGATCCCACTCCGGCCTTCGTGTTGTAAAACAAGAGCAGCAAAAGAACCTGAGGCGGATAGGTTGCAGTGGTAGTGGATAGAAACAGTAACAGTAACAGCAACTGTAGCGGCAAGAGCAAGAGTATCAGTAATAGCAATGGTGTTAGTAATAGTACTCGTATTAGTAATGGTTCTTGTCATAGTCACAGTATTACAAGTAATACTAGTATTGACAATGGTGAGGAACGCAACAGTAGCAATAACGGTAAACGTCATAGCAATAACTCAAGCTGTAGCAGTAATACTAGTAACAATAATAGCAAGCATCAGAACAAGAGTAAAAATAGTACTGGTAAACAGCCGCAGTCGTAATGCTGGAAAGACCAAGAGAGATAATAGCATTAGTCATATAGACACTAGTAAAACAATAATGGTCATAGCAATGACAATTCTAAGTAAAATTGGAATAATAATACGCGCACGAATAGTAAAATGGTTAATAGTATTGGCCAGCATAACAGGAAGACTAGGAATGATAAACGTTGCAATGATCGCAATCATTGACATCATAATAACGATACCAATAGTGATGAGGTTCGTGATAGCCATAGGAAGTGACAAAAGTAATAGTGATGGTAACAGCAGTAGTGAAATTAGAAACACAAACCTTTACAATGACACAAAATGATTTTGTTGAAACAAACGATATTACAAATAAAGAATATCATCACCAGAGCAATTATACCAATTCCAACAGCAATAATCAACATAATGGCAGTAAGAGTAATAACCACAATACTATGGTATTCGTAATGGCAGCAGTTCTATAGGGTTTGTAACCGTAAGGATACTAGTAAACTGGTAACTTGTAGCAGTAATAGTAATACAAATAGTGGTCGTACATGTGAAAGTGATAGTACTAGGAGTCGTGAAAAAACAGTAAGATTATTGGCGATAGCGATAGTCATGTGGATAGAGATACAACTCATACCAGTAATCATATTCGCAACAATAAAGCAGCAATAGCATGTGTCATAGTTCTGCAGGATTAGCAGTAGCACAAGTACTAGTAATACATATTAATGGAAAATAGCTCTATAGGGTTAGTATTTCTTCGGGCGCCCCACTTAGGGAGCCCACAAAACACCGGCTCGAAGTAGGACATTAGGGTTTAGCATAAGCAACCTCAGGCCCCGCAAGAACACGAAATCTCTTACGGAGCTATGTACTCAGAGCTGCAAGTCAGCCTTGCTTAAAGGATCATGGTACTTAGTAGCTAGAGTTATTATTAGGGTAACTATACTTATAATCCCAATTAAGGTACTTATAACCTTACTTACTAAGACATGATCCTCCAAGTGGGACTTCTGAAGATAATGTTAGCCGACACAAAACCCTAAGCGTCAAACCCGCAACCAAAAAGCCAAGATCCTGTAGCAAACCTGAGGCTGCTAAACCACCCATCACACACAGGAAGCCGCATCGCATGCCCAAAGCATGGCCCTGACAACAGAATCCTTATGGAAAGCTGAATAAACAAACCAGCCACCCTAAGCCCTTAAACCCGACAAGTACTTGCAAAGCCCGTAAGCCCCTAAACACCAAACCCTAAACCACTCCCCTACTACAGGGGCCTAAATGATTACCAATACCATTTTGGGGTTCCTTATTATAGTTATAGTATAATGGGCCCCAAAAGCCTATCCATACCCTGAAGGCCTCTATATTATAGCCCTTATGGATCCCTTATGGAGACCTTGAAGGGGCCCTATTCTATTTATTAAGGCCCCTAACAGCCCCTTAACCCCCAAGCCACCAAACCCTTAACCCCAAGCCCCCAAACCCTTAAACTCTAAAGCCCCTAACAGCCCCCAAGAGTCCCTTTATGCATGGCCCTAAGAGCCCCCTTAATGCATGGCCATAGTACCCTTATAGATCCCTTATAGCAGCCGCTATAAACCCCCTTTAAAGGGAACCCTAAAGCCCCTACCAGCCACTTAACTCCCAAGCCCCGAAACCCTAAGCCCTAAACTAACCGATGTGGATGTGTCACACGGCACAGTCGGACATGTTCACTTGCAAGTGTTTGCCTAAGCCCTGAACCCTAAACCCAAACCCTAAACCCTAATTCTTTCAGGAACCCTTCAACGGAACCCTAAAGCCCTAACAGCCCCCTTAATCATAGGGACCCTTAGGGGGGCGTAGGGGGAGAGGTAGAGGGCTTTCAGGGTCCCCTACCCCCTCCCCCCTACCCCCCCCTACTTGGAGGGTCGGGGGACTTAGTAAGTAGGTAGTAAGTAGACTCATAAGTACCCTAAAAGGGACCCTAATTGGGGTTATCTTACTTGTAAGCCCCGAAAATAACCCGACCCTCCAAGTACGGGTCCCTGCAACTTTTAACTCAGGGCCATGGCGCGATGAGGGACCTCCGGGCCAGCGACTTCCCGGCGGCGGCGCCCTCAGAAGAACCCGCCTCGCTCTCTATGAGGTTTAGGGTTTGGGGCTGAGGGTTTAGGGTTTAGGATTTAGGGTTCAGGGTTGAAGGTTAGGGTTTAGGTTTCAGGGTTTAGGGTTTGGGGCGTACGTAGGGTTTGGGGTCCCAGGTATCAATGTAACTACGGTTGATGATATAAATCCTGCATTACCCATAAGAAGGAATATACCATAATTCCCATAGTTTAGGGTCCTTAAGGTCATGCAGGATTTGGTCAGGATCTTTATCATCAACCGTAGTTCATGGTTGGGATTGGATTAAACATTCAATTTTTGATTCCTTATTGGGTTAAGTACCCATAAAAATGTAAAACGTCACCCAACTATGACAAAGTTTAGGGTTTAGGGGTTTCTTAAGGGCTATCTATATAAAAACAGGGGCCTTAATAATTAGAATAGGGCTCCTTGAAATTAAGGGTTCTTTAAAGGGCTCTATAAGGGATCTATAGTAGGGTTCTATAATATTGGGCCTCGTGTTGCGTCTTATTGAAAGCGTAGGGTGTTAATATATACATAAATAAATATATATATATATATATATACATATATATATATATATATGTATGTAGGGTTCCTTTCAAGGGGTCTATAAGGGCAAGTCTAAGGATCTAAGGGGCTTTGGGAGCTTTCAGGGTTTAAGGGTTTAGGGCTTTGCGGTTTAGGGTTTAGGGGTTTGTAGGGTTTAGGGTTTAGGGGTTTAGGGTTTAGGGTTTAGGGTTTAGGGGTTTAGGGGTTTAGGGGTTTAGGGTTTAGGGTTTAGGGGGTTTTAGGGCTTAGGGCTTTAAGGCTGTAGGGTTTACTGTGGGATTTGCCTGGACTCCACACAACCTACCTCGAGTGGGTTCCCCAGTACGATTTCATGATATAAGTTCTTAAAACGGTAGGTTATTTGGAGTTAAGGTAGGGCATCAGGGTATCACGGCTTAATTAAGGGTGGTAGGGCCTAGAGTTTCCATGCGGTTCTATGGGGTTTCAACAGCGATTCACAGAGGGTGAATGGCTGTCTACCAGGCTGCTATCAGGGTTCCATGCAGGCCTAGGATTCATAACCCTCTGGCTAGCCAAAATTCTGAACACTTAGCCGATATACCACTGAGACCAAAACACGTAAACCCTGCACAACGAAAACAACACATCAAACCTGTAAACCCTTGAGCTCTAAACCTTGGCCCCTAAACCCTAAACTCTTCGGGCCTGAACTTTTCTTATCTTGTGGCTCCCTACCCAAAGAGCCCAATACCCCTTAAATACGCCATATACCCTAAATTACAAGGGGCTTCATATTATGACTGAAGCTATATTCCTCAACTAAGGGGGTATTGGGATCTCTGGGCAGGCCGGGCGAAGGTTCAGTGCTGTATAGGGGCCTTGAAGTTCAGGGTTTAGGGTATAGAATCGTGGAAGAGGCTTTTGTAGGGATGCTTAGGGTTCCGTATCTAGACCCAAGAGTAACCTAGGAATAAAAAGGGTGCCCTTTTTGGTTTAAAGGGGCTTATAAGGGAACCTGAACCCTCAAAAAAGGGAATAAGGGCCTATAGGTATGATCATGTTCTGAGCTCCGGGCTCCCTCGTCTCCCTCGGCCGTGCATTCCGTGTGGCTCAGGGAGTCTTAGGCTCAGAGGTTGAGGGGTTTTAGGATTTCGGGGCTGCGGGGGTTCTGGGCTTAAGGGCTTCAGGATTTTGGGGCACCAACACACACACAAACACTGCCAGAGAATGTTTAGATATAGAACCCCACAGGGCTGAGTGCGTAGTTATGCAGGGGTTTCAGGGCTTTTGAGGCCACAATACGTTTCATGGAGTAAGTTGTGGCGCCGCTAGGCTGGCTTTTGCTTTTTGGGGTTTAGAGTTTCAGGGTTTTCTCAGAAGCTCGGTGATGGGAGGGCTTCGGCTTGTCGGGTTTAGGGTTACCTAATGGTCATAGGGACTTTAAGGCCAATGTACAAATGTTATTTGGGTACTTGGAGGGTCGGGGGACTTAGTAAGTAGGTAGTAAGTAGACTTATAAGTACCCTAATAGGGACCCTAATTGGGGTTATGGTACTTATAAGTCCCGAAAATAACCAGTTACTAAGTCCCCCGACCCTCCAAGTATTACCGAGTGTTATAGCAGAATCTCAGGCTTCCACACATTGCCTTGAGTTGCTCAGCTGCTAGCCGCTCTGCAGCTGGCGTTGCACGGTTGATGATATAAATCCTGCATGACCCATATTAAGGAGTATACCATAATTCCCATAGTTTAGGGCCTTTAAGGTCATGCAGGATTTATATCATCAACCGCATGGCAGTGTTACCACCACCAGGTCACCACCACAGGATTCATGTCCCCAGGTCACCTGAGTTGTCCTTTAAGCCCTTTGAAAACTATTTACTATTATGGTTCTCTACAGAATAGTAGGAGAAATTAAAAGAGATCCCAAAGGACAACCCAGTCACAAAAGATCCGTCACCAAGAAGGGCCACGAAAGCTAGGTCGGAAGCCTGGATGTGCTGGACATTCTTCAGCTGCTCTTGCACAGCACTGCTGTCACCACCCCAGCCATATCCCCAAGTCACGACAGATCTATCGCCAAGAATCGCAGCAAAAGCCTCTCGAGAAGCTTGGATCTGCAGCACGTTCCTGAGTTGATGCTGCACATAACCGCTTTCACCACCATAGGAGGCATCACCCCAGGTGACGACAGATCCATCGCCCACAATTGCGGCAAAAGCGCGCTGAGAGGCTTGGATTGCCTGCACATTCTTCAACTGAGCCTGCACGGCAGTACTATCACCTCCGAAGCGGTCATCTCCCCAGGTCACCACAGAGCCGTCGTGCAGGATGGCGGCAAACGCGTATGGAGAAGCTTGAATTTGCCGCACGCTCTTCAGCTGATGCTGCACAGAACTGCTGTCGCTACCGCAGTCAACATCCCCCCAGGTTACAACAGATCCATCGTCAAGAATGGCAGCAAATGCTCGGTCAGAGGCTTGGATTGCTCGCACATTTTTCAGCTTATCCTGCACAGCTCTGCTGTCACCACCGCAACCAGCATCCCCCCACGTCACGACAGATCCATCGTCAAGAATGGCGGCAAAGGCATGGTGGGTGGCTTGGATGTGCTGCACGTTCTTGAGCTGATCCTCCACATCACTGTTGTCACCCCCAGAATCATCATCATCGCCCCAAGTCACAACAGATCCATCGCCAAGGATGGCAGCAAAGGCGCGGCTGGTGGCCTGGATTTGCTGCACGTTGCTTGTCAACAGCTCTATGACTTCTTCACAGTCGCCTCCTGAGGCCACATCGCCCCAGGTGACGACAGAGCCGTCATCAAGAATGGCGGCAAAGGCGCCGTCAGAGGCTTGGATTTGCTGCACGTTGTGAAGGCGATGCTGCACAGCACGGCTGTCACCCCCGGTGCGATGTGAACCCCAGGTTACCACAGAACCATCAACACAAATAGCAGCAAAAGAAGAAGATGATGCTCGGATGCATTGCACGCTCTGCAACTGCTCCTGCACTGCACTGCTGTCACCACCATCGCGGACATCGCCCCATGCTGCTGCAGAACCATCGCCCCAAACTGCAGCGAAAGCATATGCGGTCGCGCATGCCAGAGTTAAGCCAATGTGAAAGGTCAGCGAGTCGCCATTCTGCACGTGAGCGGTCGCAATCGTCTCACATCCGTCCAGAACGCGTCCAGATGTGTCCAGGAGTCGGCCTTTGCCTGGGTTCTTGTCAAGGGATTTAATTTAAGTTACCATAACCAGGAAGCCATATTATTTACTATAGGTCCCTATTATTATGGTAACTTAAATTAAACTCCTTTACATGAATCAAGTTGCCAACGGTGAGTGCAGTTTGCGCCCGGTCAGTGAGTCGTCTCACCGTTTCATCCGAACTTGTCTCCAGCGCGGCTTTCCTGCCGCTGAGCATTCGGACCTCCACGGCAAACGACATGGTGGATTGGAGACCAAATCCCAAGACCTAGCATGAGTCCTGTAAGGCTGTGGTAGGTTATGTGCCGGGTCCTAAACAAGAGGGCGTGGGATTACCGTCCCCGCGCCCCCGACCCCAAGAACTTCATGCGCGGTCGAGCCAGCATAGCCTGCTTGCTGAGATCCCTGGCATAGGGGTACCTTTTTGGGGCCCTTATAATCAGGATCCTACTATTTAGGGTGCTCTATTACGATACCCAGTATGAGTTCGGGGATGTATCAATCCACTTCAACTAGCTCTACTGTTAACCCCAAGCACCTTCACCGCTTGCCCTTGGGAATTCCAGAAAACTCGGGACCCCTCCCTGGAACCCCCCTACTAAACCCTAAACCCTAAACCCTAAACCCATACCTAAAACCTCAGGTCCTTATTAGAACGACCCCTAGAAGGGACCCAATCTTCTGGAGATCCCCTTGCGGAGCCTTGACTAGGATGCCCAGTAACCTAGGAATAAAAAGGCTTCTCTTTTTGGTATTCGGTAACTTTATAAGGAACCTAGGACTACAAAAAGGGAATAAGGGTACTACTGGGCATCCTAGTTGAAAGCAAGCCAAACCTAACCTCTGGCCTCTATCCCAAAAACCGCGAAACGAGAAACTTGCAACTCCTGGCAGCATGAAGGTGGTGACGGTGCCGTAGCAGGATGTCACTGTTGAACACGGTTTAGGGTTCAGGGTTTAGGGGTTGAAGCTGGTGAGGCTTATGTCGGTGATGGTGCTTCGTGGCAGTGCCTCCTGCAAAGACTTCCCGACTCCCGAACCTTCCAGAGCTGCCTAACATCGGGGCCTTAATGATTAGAATAGGGCGATAGTGTTCCCTTTAAAGGGGTCCTTAAAGGGGTACTATAAGGGATTTATAGTAGGGTTCCAGAAGAAAGGGGCCTTAATGATTAGAATAGGGTTTTGGGGGCATATGACACTATAATTAACTATAATTCAGGAACCCCCCGAAACTTAGTGTTGGTTAGTATCTAAGCCCCTACATGTTCCGAAAATTAGGGGTACCTTGTTTTGGGGTCCTTATAATAAGGATCCTACTATTTTAGGGTACCATGCTAGGCTCCCCCATTTTCGGAAACTTCTATATTACCCCTTTGGGGCTGCCACCACATAGCCAGACGGAAGACCCGGCATCAGCTCGGAGCTGGCGAGGTACATTCGGGACACCTCCGGATTGGGCTTTAGGGTTTGGGTTTAGGGTTTAGGGTTTAGGGTTTGGGGTTTAGGGTTTAGGGTTTAGGGTACATACGTGATACCTTCGGATTTGACTGTTGGTTGCCGGGGTTTGGAAATTTCGGTTTAGGGCGTTACGAAGACGACTACTACTACCACAACTAGTACTAGCGCACCAATACGGGGTCTACGGATTGGTTGTCACTTTCAATTGAAGTCCCGGCTGCACACACATTCGACAAACCTCGCCTCCAAACCTGCCTTGCACTTAAGGGTTTAGGGTTTAGGGTTTAAGATTCTTGCAGGATTCTGCTATTGCAATTTCTTTCCCTAAACCCTAATCCCCACTTACAAACTGCTTCGAAGATGGGCAACCCGCTTGGGCCCTTTGACCCGTTTGACAACAGGCAAATGCTGCTAAAAGCAAGCCCTAACCGTCCTAACAACCCTGAACCCCTCAAAGCACAAGCCCTACAAAGCCTACCACACCAAATCAATCCAGATCAATATATAAACGCCCGACAGACATCCTGTAAAACAACATGCTGCATGAACACATTGCAGAAACACCATAATATAGGGGTCTTAATATCTAAATAGAGTTTTGGGGCCCACTATACTACAGTTATAACGAGGAACCCCCCCAAAAAAGTATAGGTAATTATGACGGCCCGGCCCCTACCCTAAGCCTAACATCCTCTAGATCCCTCATATATCCTTTGAAGGAACCTATATCGTAAACAGCCCTGAAAAGACTATACTGCACTTAGAACCCGAGCAAAAATTAAAAAAAATGCTTTCTTAGGAATTATAATAACCAAAAGTTAAAAATTATTTCTAAGTACCCCTAAGAAGACCGGTGGGTCGGGGTCCTCGGCTTTCTTGCCAAGGCTTCCGTCGGCGTCGTCTCCCCGCGACGGGCCCGACTGCACGAGGTGCAGCACCTGGGTCTCTGTTGCTTCTGTACATATAGGTTTGTAGGGTTAGGGCTTAGTGTGTATGTATGTCTATGTATATGTATGTATATATAGATATGCACATTTCATGCGCATGTATATATATATATACAAAATATGCATCTTTAGTACACACCTGCATAAATACATACATCCAGGCATGCAAAACCCCTATACGCCACTTGGAGCTTCATGAGTAGAACCCTAAGCCCCAACCCTTAGTCCCTAAACCTGCAACCCTGAGCCCGAACGCACTTACCCAAAGACTCCAATATCCCTTAGTGAAGGAATATACCTTAAGTTATAGTAGGATTCCTAATATGATTTACGGTATATTCCTTAATTAGTTCAAGGTACCCTAAACCAAGCTATAGTAGGATCCCTAATATGATTTACGGTATATTCCTTGGCTCAAGAATGTTATTGGCGTCTCTGGGTACCCTAAACCCTATAGATCCCTTACAGACCCCTTAAGTGAACCCTAGCCCGATAGGTATTCCTTTTAATGATCGGATATTAATCTTCGGCCTCCTTGGGAGGGCTCGGCAGCAGCCCCGCAAACGGTTCCAGCCTCTGTCCGGCATGGGATGTATTGGGGCTTGTGGTTTGGGGTTTAGGGTTTAGGGGTTTAGGATTTAAGGGGTTTAGGGTTGAGGGTTTTAGGGTTGGGTTTATGGGTTTAGCGCTCCAGGATAATTCTGAGAAGAAAGGGCCATGCCTGTGTCTCAGCAACTTTACGGGTTTAGGGGTTGTGCCCTGCCAACAGATGGATAGTTGTCAAAATTATGGTCCCTTTTTCGGTCCTTAATATAATACGGCACCTAATATTTAGGGTGCCCAAAAAGGGACCCAAATTTTGACAACCACCCATATGGATCCTAACGTGCCGGATTTGGAAGGTGGCTGAAAGACACCCAAGTCCTAAACTTTAATCGAAACTCGTAGGCGCGAGCCGACCATCACATGTTTCACCGCAAATACCAACTCTTACTTCAGGGACGTTAATATTTCTTGAACACAAGGGTGCTTGGGTGATACATTTAGTTGTCTATGTTACACCAACCTCCCGAGCCCTGCAACCCGTCTAACCTGCTGATCCCTACCACCCTGAAACCTTGGCAGCAGTACGCGCACGTCGTCCCTAAATAAGTACATAAGGTCTACCATAATCCGTAAGGGTCCAAGTACCCAATAATCATATACTCTCAAAAATAGTAACCTACATAAATCCTGTCCCAAACCCGAGTACCTAATCACTGGGTCCTTTGGACCCCTGGGGAAGTAGCCCAGCAACCATTGCTAGGCCAATAGGGCCGTTCTACCCTAAACCGCTCTCTAAAACACATTATCAGAACACTTAGAGAGCCCCATGTAGAGAACCCGTGACGGAACGCTAAATCTAGCACGGCCCCTATACATGAAGCACCAAACGCGAGCAGGATGACTTTCCTGAGGAGCTGGCCAGATAGAGTTGAGCAGCGTAGCGATGAACGCCTGCTACTGTTGATGGACAAAATCCTGCATTACCTTCAGGAACCTCAACTATGGGAATTATGGTATATTCCTTATTATGGGTCATGCAGGATTTTGTCCATCAACAGTATGACTGAGGGGCTACGTACCCCAGCCCAAAAAGGCTAACCTTTTGAATTGTAGTAGGGTTATATAGACCCCAAAAGGGCAAAGGTTACCTACTCAGCTACTAAGAACACTAGTAGAGAGGGTTTGGACAAGTTTGGGGTTTATGGCCAAGCGCTTCGGGTTTGGAGTTCAAGTTTACGCAAGGGTTAGGAGGGGGGCTTGGAATTCGAGTATACCTCCACTATATAGTAAACAAGTCATACCTTCACTCTACTAGGAACAGGCTGCCCACGCTAGCCGTCTTTCGAGCGTTTTTGAGGTTTAACTTTGAACCAAAACGCAGGAGTTTAGGGCTTAAGAGTTCGCGCTTAGGCTCGTCTTAGACCCTGAAGCCTGTACAAAACCCTTGCACAAGCTCTACAAAGTCTCTCCTAAAAGCCGTCACAAAACCGAAAACAACTGGAAAGCCCTGTGAAAACTAAAGCCTGAACCCTGGAACATAAATACAATAAACACACCGCAGCTAGGTCGATGACATCTCAAGAGCAACGAGGAGACGCAAAGGGACAACGAAATCGAAAGCCACCTAATGTTTGTGGAGGCCTTGCTAAGTAGAAATACTTACCAATACTACTCCTGTGGGCCCCAGACTATAAAGTACACTATAGGGGCCTCAACCATTAGAATAGGGTGTAGGGGTATAGGGCGTAGGGGTATATAATATTATACTATAGGTATAAGGAGGGACGGCAATTAGTCCCGCTTCTATATGCTTGAGCAGGCCGGCTTTAAACTTGAGATCCCAAACCCGCTAAAGCCCTCGTAAAGAGGTCTGAGTAGCTCGAACAGGGTTGGGATGTTTCGATTACAGTATACTCAGCAATATGGACTTTGCAGGAATATTATTCGGATCTTTCTTGTAACACTTCAACCCTAAACCCCTACAGCTCGAATTGCGAACCCCGAGCCCCTAATTAAGCAAATTCCTAATGCCCGGGTCTGAATAAGTAGATTAATCTACTAGAATCATATTCAGGAACCCTAAGGAACCCTTTTGGACATGATTAAGGCGCCTATAGCTATTCTAGACCCTTGTGGAATCCTTTAAGAGCCCCTTAGAAGGCTAGCTGTTCTTTGTTAACCCTGCTTATATCATCCTATATCCCCTAAAACACTCCCCTAAACCCTAGAAACATTAAGGTGCCGTGCCACAGGGGAACCATGCCCTTTCTTGCGGCGCCAAAACCCCTTGAACCCTCCTTGAAGGATCATGGGACGTATAGTTAGTAAATAGGGTGATGTTTAAAGTTAGAAGTGCCTTAAGTGGGGTCATTATAACTATGACCTTACACTTATAACTACTTATAACCTTCGTACCAAGTCCCATGAGCCTTTATGTAGACCCAGCAACGTGCAGAGTCCGCCTGAGCTCGAAGATCCCCCGAGTCTTCCGGCTGGCCTTCACCCTGGTTTAGGGTTTAGGGCTCAGGGTTTAGGGCTTAGGCTTTTGGGTTTAAGGCTTAGTTAGGGTTTAGGGCTTAGAGTCTTGGGTGCAGGGCTTAGGGTTTAGGGTTTTCTGTTTAAGTGCATTGACTCTTTCTTTGGTTGCCACAGCGTGCAGGTCCTGAGCCCGCCTCGGAAGGCCTACACTAGAAGAAAGCCCGTCACTCACAACAGTCAGGTTCAGGTCCGTCACTCTTCGTCTTCATCATCCGCAACATCACGACGGGGTGAGTCAGGGTTTAGGGCTGAGGTTCAGGCGTAGGATATGGGTTAAAAGTTGAGGGATTCCAAGGCTTAGAGCTTGCTCGAAATAACATTCATGCAAGGAAGGCCAGAGACAACTTTGAGCCTCATGGCGGGAGTGGGGGTTTACAATAATCCTGGTCTGCATTGCAGGAGACCCTTTGTACTTAGAATATCGGATCAAGTCTCGCCTCGTCTTCCTTTTCCTGCAGCACCTGCACATGGCGAGGCCGCTCAAGGAAGGGCAGGGGCACGACGAGTAGTCATCATCCATGCTAGGCCCAAACTTGCCCAGACCATCCGATATTGAACAACATGAATCGTTATTGCTGATGTTCACAGATTTCTTGCCAGCGCTTTTGATTTTTACTTGGGAAGCAACGGAAGTCCATTGATTTCGGGCGTTTGCCGCATGGGCAAGATCAGTAGAAAAACAAGTATGGCTGAAAAGAACTGGTGTCATCAGAACCCATGGAAGTTTTGATTTTGATTGAATACCAATCGAACATGAATCCGAAGATCAAGAACCTTAGAACCGAGAGAAAATCCTTAGACACACTGCCCATGACAATTTCAGCAGTAATGCCAAACAAGCCGCAGATACTCAACATCAAATCCCTGAAGCCCTCATGTGCCCTGGTTTCCTTAACATGACCCCCCAATCCATGAGCCCAATTACCTCAACCTACACCTTAACCCACAAGATCGATCCTGTTAGGCCTTACTATTTTTTCTTCCACGGTAGGTTTCTCAGGAATGAAGGTAAGCCCACTGCTATACACCTCAACCCCTCAACCCTTGAATCAGAACCCCGAAACTCAACCCTTAACGCCCCCCCCAATAACAAACTCAAATCCAACACCACCCAGCCCAAAAGCCAAACCGAGACCTCCTGGAAGGCCGCCACGAAAGGCAACAAGGCGTCTCCTCTGAAGACGTGAAAGCGCTTTTGGGTTTAGGGCTTACTTGGAGGATCATGCGACTTAGTAAGTAGGGTTGTAAGTACCCTAATTGGGGTTATAAGTATAGTTAGCCTAATAACTACTCTACTTACTAAGTCCCATGATCCGTTTAAGTAGGGTTCACCGGGAAGCGCTACTTTCCATATTCAGGCTTCCAGCGCGTCGGGACTCTATAGGGCTCTTTGGATTCTGTGGTAGATGGGTAGTTCTCCAAATTTGGGTCAGTTTTACGGTGCTTTTCATAAAGGTGCCGTATTTTTTGTGGAGGGACCTAGAAGGAGACCTAATTTAGAACTACCTTTTTAGGATTCAAGGTTTCAGCAATCAGCGCCGCAGATGGTTAGAGCTCCGAATGTAGGGGTCAGTAAGTTTGTGTAGAACCTGCATGCAGTGCAAGGGCTACGGTATCCTGGGGTGGGGACCTTTAGGAAGCTCGAGCAGGTTGGAAGTTGGTTTAAAGCTAGGGTTTAGGGTTCAGGATTAGGGCAAGCGGCGACGTCACAAAGCAAGATTGCATGTGGGTGCCGGTCAATAAAAACGGTGCATTCGACCTTTTATTGTGTGCTTATAATGAGTAGCCGCTAGCCAGAAGGAACAGTAGGGTTATCACTCAGGCTTGGCTGAAAACATCAGAAATGTATTCCCACACAAACGTATTCCCACACTCCTGTCCTGGCAAAGCAGCCAAGCCAAACTGATCTGAAGCCAAGCTTGCTTAGGGAAGTCTAGTTGACGTCTACTCAAACCTTCTGAAACCCAAAACTGAACCCGGACCGTGCCTTTCCCACTACTCTCAGCTGAACTCCGCCATGCTCGTCTGAATAAAAACATGAACCTTAGAAGGGGCCCCCACCCTGTATGACTATAAGGATTATATTAGGGCCCTATTATATTCCTTCTATACCACTATTACAGGATGGGGGCCCCTTCTAACATGAACCCCAAAACCCTGTAACCCTAAAGCCATGAACACCATAAGCCTCAATACAAAGCCCCAAGGCCTGAGCCTCCTAAACCCCACCCGGCTTAGGGTTTAGGGTTTAGGGTTTAGGGTTTAGGGTTTAGGGTTTACTACTAAACCCTAGTTTTTGTAGGTGCTTGTCAGAAACCCTAATATGGGATTATAGGGACCTACAATAGAAGTAGGTTCTGGTAGGTTAAGGTAGACCGTACACCCTAAATCAACAAGCTCGAAGGGGACCTGCCCCCAGCAACTTTGGCTCGGGTTGTCTGGCCTCTGCCTGTGCTCCGGATGAAGCGCGAACTGGAAGTTTAATGGGTAAGGGGAGGATACTTAGAGGCCCAGGGGACTTAGTAAGTAGGTTATAAGTAGGGTTATAAGTACCCTAAATGGGATTACCCCAATTATTACCCTACTTATAACCGGCTGACTAAGTCCCCTGGGCCTCTAAGTAGGCGGGTCCAGAACCTCATCAAAACAAGGCTTCTGGCTCAGATCGAGCCTTCTCAGGCTTAGAGTTGCGAGGGTTCAGCAATGAGGGCTTCAGTTGCAAAGGGTTCTAGAGAAGTTCAAACTCAAGGTTCTATACCGGTTCTTTTCGGACTCCGTAAATGTTGTATAGGGTTCTTTTCAAATTCTAGGGTTCTATGATGGTTCTATGTGGGTTCTCACTAGGGTTCTGGAGAAGGGTTGTGGAGGGGGTCGACCTGCGCTGGATGGAGGTTCTTTTGAGGTTCGGGGCTTCAGAAAGGTGTAGGGTTTTGGGTTTTGGGGTTTAGGGTTTAGGGTTTGGGGTTTAGGGTTTCGGGTTTGGGGTTTAGGGTTTAGGGTTTGGGGTTTAGGGCTCCAAAAACGTTTAGTGTTTAGGGGCTTTTGCATTGAGGTTCCCTCGGACTTCTGAAGGCCTGACTTTCTTTTCAGTTCAGGATTATGAAGCTTTCACAAACAACATCACACAACATCACCGGTGCTCTGCTACGGTACATTCTAGACTATCGGCCATACCCCTCTAAACCCTAAACTCATAAGGAAGCCATGCCATCTGCAACAATCACTGGCTATTCAGGCTGCTGCTTCTTTGGGTCTGTGGCGGCCCTCCATGCAACCTACCGGACAGGAGGAGCTCCTTCGAATGGCTCTGTACAAAGGTTCTACAACATAATGAATAGGGTTTGGCGATGCTATAAGTAAAATATATATATATATATATATATATATATATACTACTACTACTACTACTACTACTACTACTACTACTACTACTACTACTACTACTACTACTACTACTACTACTACTACTACTACTACTACTACTACTACTACTACGACTACTACTACTACTACTACTACGACTACTATAACTTATAGTATAAGGAGGACAATGAGAGGGTATACTCCTTGACTCCCTCAACTTCCACACCCTAGTCTGAAGCTGAACACGCCCCAGCCCCAAGCAAAGACACACACGGTGCAACGCTGAACCGCCGAAGACATTATAGTAGAAGCCAGAAAGTTGGAACATCGTTCTCCTCCTGCCCTAAAGGTAAAGCAAAAGGGATCCTAGCACTAATCCTCCTAAAACCATGTTCCAACTTTCTGGCGTCTACTATAAGGCCCCTGGGTTTAAGTATTCGGCATCTCGGGCTTAAGTCTTAGCGTAATCGGCCTGGGGTCCAAGATCCATGGGTTTTGCCGAGGCTTGGGGTTCATGGTGCGGTATATATATTATGGTAGTTACATGAGGTCTACAAGAGACCTGAGGACGACTAAGCCCTAAAACCCTTCTCTTTGAACTTATCTATTCGGTTGCCTCAGCACCCTTTGGCTTCCCATTCTTGGAGGCCGGGGTGCCTGGCACAGCACCGGGTCAAAATGAAAGCGTAGGGGGTTGGAATGATGTGTTTTGTTTTCATGTCTTATGGTGCCAAAATTAATTCGGAAGGGAGGGGTTTCGAATTAGTTGTCTTCGGTTCAAGGTCAGGGCTTACGGCCCTCTGGGAGACCCTGGAAACCGACGCCCGAAGAACAGGGCTGGGGACGTGCGTATGTATGTACAGAAATAGAGATAGATAGATTCACATTGTGCATCAGTATTGGTTGATGTATGCTCGTACTTTTATAGCCATACCTATGTATGTATATGTACATATGTATTATATATATATATACACACACCCGTATGTGTATGTTTATGTATATATATATATATATGTAACATAGATGTATAATTATGTGTGTGTAGGTGTATGCACCTGGTTATAACAAGTTACAGTATACGTGTAGCTATGCGTGCGTGTACATAGGTACAGATGCAAGTAAGTAGGTACGTACGTACTTATGTACGTATGATGCATGTAGGTGTATAGGTAGGCATGGTCTGGCGGGTGGGCGGTTGGGCAGCCGGGCAGGCAGGCAGACAGGCAGGTGTGTATGTGCACAGACAAAGGCATATTATATCCATGTATACATGTACACACAAAAATGTGTGTATAAATACATATATATATAGATATATATATATATATATATATAGAAACATCTGTCCATCTATTTAACTATCTGTGTTTGTGAATTCTGGAGCTTTATAATACCATATACATACATGCATGTATGTGTAAACATACATATCAAAGTCTATCTCAATATCTCTATCTCTATTGCTATCTATATCTATGTCTTTTTATATGTGTACAAACATCCAATATACTACATAACGTGAATATTCGTACATTTATGTAGATACAAACATATATGTATGTATGTACGTATGTAGAGCATAGGTACCCATGTGCATGTCACGAGTACCACAGAAAGTCACAATAATGGAAGAATGAGAATCTGATGATGTCGGTTTGTTAGACAAGGACTCACAACCCCTATCCTCAAACCCTCAACCCCTATCCTCAAACCCTCAAACCTAGACGATTACAGTAAACAACATTTTATTGCGAAAACCTCGACCCTATCTCCTAAAGCTTAGGGCCTCTAAGCGCTAAACTGAAATTCTCACTAGATTCGATATCTTCTGCAGCTTGCCTACAGCCGGTCTGCTGAGACCTTCAGCCAGTGAAAGGTACGGCCTCAGGCTGTTCAAAGGCGTAGGGGAGGGTAATCTGGGGGCCCTATTGTCCCATACAGAGGCTTAACTGCGGGTTTAGGGTCGAGGGTGCAGGGTTCAGGATTTAGGGTTTCACCGCACCCTGAACTCGATGACCCGGACAGTAAACCATGCGCAGGACCGTATGCTATGGAGGTCGCATATGAACGTATGTTGGTCGCAGGCTGAGGGTCTGACAAGGTCTTAGGCTTCGGACCTGGGACAAGCTCCAGAGACAATATTCAACTTCTAAGTAATATTCATTACCCTGCATGTGAAATAACCCTTACTTATACCATAGAACCCTCTATAGATCGCTTATGGACTCCTTTAACGGGAACCCTAGGTAATTATTTTGGCCATTAAGGCCGCCCCTCCATGAAACGCCAGGCTGAGAGCAGCGCGCAGAACGCACCTGTGGCTGCTCCTGTTTACTTTGAAACCCCAGCCGCTAGGTTCCTTGAAACCCAGAGGGTCCATATACACTACGATTATGGAATTAGGCACCGAAAGACCATCCCTGTTACGGTTGCGGGGGCCTAATTCCATAATGGTGGTGTATATGGACCCTCTGGGGAGGGGTTGTTAAAGCTTCCTTGCGTTCCTTTAAAGAGACCCTAAGCATCTAGAAAGGGACCCCAAGCCCGTTGATAGGTTTCTGACAAGGTTCCTTTAAGATAAAGGCTAGGTGGGGCTTTCAAAGCCTTTGAAAAGTATTAGTAAATAAGATCCTCTTAAGCCCAATAGGGGAAAATATAAAATGTCCCAAAGCCCTACCTAGAAGGGCTCTATGGCTTTATCTCTAAGGCCCCAAGGGATCCTAAGGGGCCAACGACCCCAGTGCACCTATGATTAGGGACCCAAAACAGGACCTAAACAAAAACCATAAGGTTGGGATATCCCAGAATCCTTACTTTAAATAAGCCAATAAGATAGGGATATCCCATCCGAAAGTTTGTGTTTGGGTGCTTCTTTGGCTCCCAAATGATAGCCAGGCATTTGGGCTTTAACGCCGTTAGGTGCAAATACCATCATACTTACTTCAGCTTCCCGGTTCAACAAGGGATCCAGGAAGAAAAGTCGAAAGTCAATCTTCCCCAAAGTGCTGTGGTGTCCAACGCATCCACCACCTGCCTTGCCTGCAGAAGAGAGATTCTGCATCAGGCCGATTAGGGTTCTCGACGCAGCCTTCGTCGTAATAAAGCCCTTCCCTGAAGAAGTTCATGCCTCAGGCTCTGTGACTCAATGCTTGCTTTTTGTGAACCCTAAAGCCCTGCAGCTTTCGGCCAAAACCTCAAGCGGCTCTTAAAAACCCCAAGCCGCAAAACCCTAAACCCAAACCGCTAAACCGTTGAGACCCTAAACCCTACACCCTAAACCCCTAAACGCAAAGCCACAGCGGATCAGCAGCTGCATCCCCTGCCGCGCGTCCTCATCCGACCCACGCGGCTGGGCAACTGCCTCGTTGACTGGCATGTTCCCGGTTTCGGGCTTCATGCTGGTATCCATTCGTAATTAGCGATACTGAAATACGTACTTTGCAAGCGCTGTGGTACATCTGGTCACTGTCCTACTTTCGGTTCTAAGAGATAGAACCATAGCCCCTAGATGTGCTGCGCATGCAGTGACTAGATACCATGGCTAAGCCTTGGCACCACTCTTGTTGCTGCTTTTGTTGCTAGCGATTAATGATGGTGGCGGCGGCGGTGGTGGTGCGGGTTTGGGGATGCCCTTTCCCGATTGCCTTAATACCTGCTAACAACTGGACAGTTCGAACAAGCTCTGAATACACACTATCTGTGTATCTATGTACCTACCTATCTATCCATCGACATTTCTGTGTGTATATATATATATATATACATATATATATATATATATATATTAGGTAGAAAGAAGCCATCTGAAAGCTAAAGCCTCAAACCGCAAACACCTACTCGCTTCCTCAGTCCTTGAAACCCCCAGACCCTCTACGCCTTTGTCGCTCTCCGCAGGGTATCAGATTTGCTGGGCCCCGGGCAGCAAAAAGCAGCAGAAAGATTTCCAGCAGCAGGGCCTGCAGAAGCTGAGATGGTCCGAACATGTCCGAAATTCTTTCCCTAAGGGTCCCTAAACCCTAAACCCTAAGTACTAAGGGTCCATGTACTCATATAGTATATACACATTGGCCTTAATGTAGTCCCTATATAGGTGCTTTGGGGCTCATGTATCTCTATATGGGTACATGGACCCTTAGGGTTTGTAAGTTTCAGCAGTGTCTCGGGGATCATATTCAGGCTGTATATAGTTACATTGCGATAGATGTCATCCCACTGTCACAAAGTGGAGGCAGAACACAAACAAAGTAGTTCGGCATGAAATAAACTTTTTGAACAGGCGAAGAGATTTCGATATCTAGAGTTCAGAGTTGGCGTTGACGAACCCTAAAATGTAAAGCCGACGACCTACGACTTCAATCTTGATGGCCCCAGCCGAGTTCAGCCCTTGGCTTTTGCCGTAATTATGTTATGTCAGTCGTAGTATACTGTAGTAGAACACATGACATGATACTGCTGTATGTTATATTATCGCAGACTACACTGTATCCGAAAACGAAACCCTAAACCGCAAAGCCCGCTGGTCCACGAACCCTGTTGAAAGACCCGCTTGGAAGTTGCTTGTAGTGAGGGATCAAGGTCTCCTCTGGGAAACCATATCACCGGACTTGCTGGCTCCAGGGTTTCAGGGTTTTGCGTCTGGCGAACTACTTTATATTACGATATGGCTTTCGATTATTATCAATACTCTAGTATAAGGACGGTTACTACTACTTTTTACGATTGGGCTTTAGGGTAAAGGTATTCGGGACCTCGCGTGGCTATTGGTGGCCAGGCCTGCAATCTCATCGCCACTGCTGGTGTGAAGCCATTCCGCGACCCTGCCTCCTGAGTGTAACAATCCCAAAGAAGCAACAGAGGGGCCTTTAGCAGGCTGGAAATTCGGGTTACGGGTTTACCCCTTGATTCAAGGTTTAGGGAGATACGTTAAATCCGCTGGAACAAGGTGGACAATATCTCTAAGTTCTCCATGCTGCAGCGCACTTTAGGTCAACGATGTACACATGCTCCGGCAGTAGATCCCGAAACCGTTTCTGAGGACCTCGATCTAACCCAAAAAAAGCCGATGGTTCAACTCATCAAATGGCACCCCGAGGCCTAGGTACCCAAAACCCGAATCCCTAGACTCTAGACCCCATGACCACGAACCTTGGACAACCATCTCGCAAACCCTTCAAGAAATTTAGAAGACTTTCCACCGTGGAGCTGTTTTGAAAGAGACAGGAAACCTTACAACAAACACCGATGGAAAGATAGAGGCCCAAGCAGACGACGCGGAGTTAGGATTTGTTGGCTTAGCCTGCCTATTGAACTTACTCGTCGTGCCATCTTTCCTAGAGTGCATCCGTGGTGCGGAAGCCCGCCCTCAACCCGGTTTAAGTGGGCTGCGAGGGTGTAATTGCAAGCTAAACAGCTAAACCCCAAGCGCTCTTACAACCATGTTCAAAAAAGTGTGGTTAACGGTCCATTGAAATTTTCAAAGCAAAACAAGAGGAAGCAATTCCCCTAACATAGACTAAGCCCTAAACCCTCTTCAAAGCCTGGCGCGAAGGAGGCAATTTGACTGAATAGTATCATGTCTGGAGTCTTCTCGCATACCTTTAGTTGCCATTTTGAAAGGTGTTTAGGGTGAGGGTTTAAGGGTTGGGCATCGTGGGCCAACCAATGTAGTACTTATGTAGCCCCCCCAAAAAAAGAGCTACAATGCAGTCTGTTCTGTATGTGTCATAGTTCTCTACATCCTGCTCTCCCGGTCTTGTAAGTGCTTTGAACCTGTCTCAGAAGTCCGGGTTTACAGGATTCGATGGTGGTAAGTAAGGAATAAACCTCGGATCACAGTATTGAGCCCCTATACTTTGCAGGCATATTCCTGCATTAAGGGCTATTAGGCGCTCTGGGTAGGTACCACCTGAGGTACGTTCCCTAAACCCTAAACCCTAAACCCTAAACCTCCGAAGAGCCCCTGGAATGAGTCAGCTGACGCTTTGCGTCGTCGGCGCGGCGCTGTTCGCAGCGCCGAAAGACCTGGGACACCATCAACCCTTCCCAATGCTAGGGGTGAATATGCCCAATATACTCCATGTACCTATATGGGGATATAGTATACTTATGCCATCTTAAGCCGTAAAGTACCAACGTAGACACACATTCATGGCCGAAGCGTATAATTTAGAGGCACATGGAGCCATAGGAGAACTGGCTTTCCGGAGGCACAAAAAAAGCTGTGGATTCGGCTCTGGCTTTGTGTCTGGGCTTAAAGACGGACGTAGAGTACCGTGGATTGGCCTTGTTTCAGTTTGCAGAGTTGCTGTCAGGGGTTGTAGAAGGTTTAGCAGACCAGTAAGTATACAACAACCAACAAACGAAAAAACCCAAACCCTACACCCTGAACAGTAAGCAAACAGAACATGAAGCCCAAACATGCAAATCTAATCCGCCGGCGCAGCACGATTTTGAACGACTTCTAAACACTGGAGCCCATGGAAACCTTGCAAGAGGCCGCCAACCCTAAACCCTAAACCCTAAACCCTAAACCCTAAACCCCTAAACCCTAAACCCTAAACCCCTAAACCCTAAACCCTAAACCCCTGAACCCTAAAGCACAAAATCACATAGAACCCTTGCTCCTGAAACCCTAGAGGACCTCCAAAATTTAGGGTTTAGGGTTTAGGGTTTAGGGGTTTAGGGTTTAGGGGTTTAGGGGTTTAGGGTTTAGGGGTTTAGGGGTTTAGGGGTTTAGGGTTTAGGGTTCAGGGTTTAGAAGCCTAAAAGTTGGAAACCCAATAGCCTCAATCCTCAAGAGTCATGTATAGGGAATCCCAGCATTATTTGGCCTTATTCCGGTTTCCAACTTTATGGGGTTTAGTATACTACCTGTGCAATGCACCCTTTGCCACTGCAACCCCAAAGCCTGGACTTTCAGTTGGTCCACCCGTCGGAAGGGAACCCTTCAAAATCCTGATGCTCCTATTTGGTCGTCCTGTGTCTGAAGCCCGCACGAATGCATCAAGAAGTCGGTTGCTTCCCGGAACACTTCCCGGACCACGCTGCCTCCGTCGAGAACTGCAAAGTTTAAGTTTAAGGCTGATCATTTGGGGCTCCCCAGAGACGCCCATTTCCCTTAAGTACAGCATAAATCTTAAACGATACTAGGATCCCTGATAAGATTTACGGTAGATTCCTTAATTAAGCGGTATTGGAGTCTCTGGGTCGTTGTTTAACGTTCATACTACTTCTTCGGGTGTAGGACTCAGGAGAGCGATCGACGAAAAGGCGCTTGTTGAAACCTGCTTCCTACTACAGTAGAAGCCTAAAAGTTGGAAACCCCGTAGCCTCAATCCTTAAGAGTAATGTATGGGGAATCCCAGCTCTATTTGGCCGTAATCCGGTTTCCAACTTTATGGGGTTTACTATAGGCGATCCCCAGTTCTCTCTTGTTACCAAGAGGGTCCATATACACCACCATGATGGAATTAGACGCCAACAGACCGTCCTAATAATGGCTTTGGGGACCTGACTCCATAAGATGGACCCTCTGGGTTAGAAACGATGGATAGACATGCACCGCTCAATGCAGCTGTGATGATCAAAAGTGCGCTAAGTTACATTCCATGGCTCAGTGCATCACGGGCAAATCAGATGACGTTTTCGATCAGCACATCATTCCGACGTGGACCGAACTTTACGAGCATTGACTTCCTTCCCTGCAAGCCTTGTTCGGTTCCCGAGGTTTTGGCAAGGACTCTGCGCAGCAACGCCTGTATCTTACAACTTCAAACGTGGCAGCACTTGGGACACGAAAAGACTAACAAGTAGAAACTCAGCTTTGCGCTTTCCGCCCTGATTACAACTCATGTAACCCTAACCCCCCATCTCCCTAAACTAGGCCCTGAACGCTAAACCGTAAACCCCTGAACCCTAAACCCTGGGCTATTGCGAACCTAAGGCATGGACCGCGGGCCTAACGATTATTCAAGGAATGGGCTTGGGCGGGCTTGGCGTAGGTATAGGGCTTAGGCTTTAGAGCATAGGGTTTAGGGTACAGGGCTTAGGGTTTCGAGCCTAGGGTTTAGGGTTTAGGGCTTAGGGTAATTTTAGGGCTTAGGGTTTTTTTTTTTTAAGCTCCTTTTTCCCAGTCGCCAATCCAGCTCCCAAGAAGGCCCGGGGGGCCAGGAGTTCCTGACAACCTTACAGCCGGCCAGAAAGAAAAACCCTCCACCCTTCAGTAGTACTTCGGCAGGGAGCCCTCATCGACCCAGCCAGAAACCGCGCCCTTGCTGAAAGTCATCACTCTCAGTCATCTCGATCTGACATTCCTGGGTGACCATCACGGTCAGGTACGGCACGGGATCCATGGGCATCAGCATAAGCAACAGCCCCATCCATATACACAGACCAACGGCCCCACCAAGCACTCTCTCAATCTCCGTGGTACTGAGCAGTCCCCCTTTCCACTTCGAGAACAGAACCTCCCAGTCCTCTTCCGTGGTAGGCCTGGTCAAGGAAACCGTATCAGCAGTCGGCACCACCAAAGTGTCGACATCCACCTGACTATCCACAGCCGTGGACGGCAAGCCACCAGTGTCCCCCACAGGCGGCAAAGGCGCACCACAACCCGGGAGTGCTGCAAGGCGGGCAGCAGCTGCACAGGTATCATTCGCCATGAAGGCCCATTGGGACTCCAAAAGGTCGAGAACCGCTCTGCCGTGGCGAGCAAGGACCAGCTGGGACGACAACCGTCCAGCCGACCACTCAGCGTACACCTCCTGGTATTCCGCAAAGTTGAGCGCGATCATGCCATCCTGAAGGCCCTCCAGGTTCCCAGTAGGAGCAGTGATCGGAGTAGGCAGGGCCGGACACTCCACGGCTACTGTTGGCGTTGGTTCCAGGACTGGTGTGGGGATAAGGTCCTCGTCCGGCTCATCGTCTCTCCACATACGCAACGTAAGCGTGGTAACCCCATCCTCCGAGACCGGAAGTCGCAGGCAGCGCGTGGTGCGGGGGGCATCCTGACTGCCGCTGGACATCTCCACCACCATGATATTGCGCTTGCGACCAACGCTCACCGGGGGCGTATGCACTCCAGGCTCATTCTGGAGTCCCACAAGGTACTCCACGTGCTGTGCTTCTGTCGTCTCAAAGGCCTCCTGTTCTCGCTGAAGGCGGTGTTCCTCGGTTCGTTGTGCTTGCCTGGCCTCCAGTTCATCATCGGCAAGTCTGTCCACGTAGTCCCTGGACTCCTCGAGACTTTGGCTGGAAATCTCAACAGACCCCGTCCCAGACGGGCGGAGGTGCCCGCTCGGCCAGGTCAGCCGACGCCGCGAGGTGGGACCGGTCGTAGTGGAGGCCTCCGTGCTGTCAAGGGTCTGCGTGTCGAGCTCAATCGCGGCCGTTGCTGTAGCAGGAGGAGCAGTCCAGTTCGGCAGGAGGTCGGAATCCGAATCCGGCAGGGGCTTCGGGAACATCATAATAGGAGGGTCCGCAATGCGCTTTCTGCCAGTGGCCAGACGGCTGGAGGAGCCGATGGGCAAAAAGGCTTCAAAGGCCCGGAACCAAGTCTCCGCCCAGTTCACCTCGTGTTCTGAAACAGCTGCCAGGTTCTGATCACGAAAGGCCACGAGGATCGAGAGAAGCTGAGCCCCTTCGCCTTGCAAGTGTCCCAGCAAGTAGCCTTCCTGCATGCGAGTGCAGCGGAAGTCCAGCCAGCTCAGAAGGTCGGTGCTCAATCTGGACCGCTCGCAAGCCCTTCGGAAGATCCTCCAAAGCCCTCTGGAATTTCTGTAATAGATTCACCCAGATTTCGGTGTGCGTGGAGGGAGTGGTCATCCCAAAGGAGGCGACGAGGCTGGTCTGCATGTAGATCGAGTCCTCGTCTTCCTCTGGTTTGGGGCTTAGGGTGATCCTTGGCTCCAAATCTAAAAGCGTTTCTCACGCGGCCCACAAATGCAAGAGACTCTGCCATGATAAGCGTAGACCCTCCAGCCCAGCCCCAGGCCCTAAACTCCACCTATAGTCCCCATTGTAGTTCCTTTTTGGGGTTACCTTTTGAGGATCCTTCATACAAAACTGGTTAAACCAAGAAAAGGAACTACAAAGGAGACTATAGGCAGAACTCAAAACCTGAGTCCCATAAAGCTAGACCAGACATCCCGAACCCCTAAACAACTTAATTATAGAACCTGAACGGAACCCTGGTAGAACCCTTGAAGGAGCCCTGTAAGAAACTCTCTGATGTCTACGTGCCCAACCTCGCCAGATAGGCACCCCGCCGGGGCACAACACCACTTCCTGTCACAGTCGCGGTTTAGGTTTAGGGTTTCAGGTTTTGGGGCTGCTAGAGTTTAACCCTACTTAACCTTTTTGGTCATATAGGGACTATACTACCCAAAAAAGGTTAAAGGTTACCTACTCTGCTACTAGGTAAGAGGGCTCCGGGTATATGCAGGGTTTAGGCTTTTCAGGACCATCTTCGGGCTTGGGGTTTAGGGTTTTTGCGTTCGTTAGGTTGGAAGGATCTTTGAAGGTTGCACGGAGGGGCGCAACAAGGGTTTGTGTACCAATGGGATCAAAATAATCACCTGTACTTCTTTTTTTTTGGAGGCGGGGTGCTTCCTATAGGTATAGTATACTGGGCCCCAACAAGCTATTCTAGCTATGAAGGGCCCCACGCCTCACGTCGCTACTTCGATTCTAGTCTCAAACTTGACCGCCAACTCATGAGATGTCTACACCCGAGGTCCTAGTTTGTGAGACCTTTCTTGTTGAATTGGGGGGCTGGCTAACCTACTCTACTGGAGGATTCCATCACAAACAAGCAGAGCCAAACAGGTGTACTACAGTTCACAATCTAGGTATTGGCATAATCACCACCATCACCATCGCCACGCCATCATCATCATCATCATCATCATCATCGTCATCATCATAATCCTCATCATATTCATGGGCAGCATCATGGCATCGTCATGAACATCATCCTCACACTAAGCAGCGCTAACGCGCAATCTTCGGCAAACTGGAGCCAGTCCACTCGACCCACTTGCCGAATGGCCGAATTTCTCAACAATGAACTCTGCGCGCTACAAGAAAAAGTCTATCCCTGGGCCCTACACCGCAAATTTTCAGGACCCTACACAAGCTGTAGACTCTATAATCGGTTTTTAGAGCCTTGAAAGCCTTTGCACACACCGTCGAAGTGCCAGTAATTTAGTATAGGGGCCTGCAGAACTACCTGTACTATTTTGACGGTTTCCTTAATATAACTATAGTATAATCGGGCACCCTGCGTCACTGTAGCTGGCAGAGGTTCAAATTCAAAACAGCCCGAAAGAATGGCCTGAGACGCAAACAGAATTCACACGCAAAAGCTTGTACGAACTCCTAGCCGGCTTGAAACCTTAAGCCACTTTGAACCCCCAACGCCATTGGTAACCTTTTGAGCCCTAACTAATCGCAAACCTCAACCTCAAAGCCGTAAGCCAACCAGTAAATCATAGATCCTAAAAATATTGAACACTGTACTGAACTCCCAAAACCCTAAACGCAAAACCAACAAAGAAAAACTATAAGCCCTGGACTGTGCCAAAACTCTTGTCAACACCCTGACTGCCTCTGGTCCAGGCTCTGCCAAACGGTATCCGGCCTCTGACTTACTCTTAATTAGGACAGTGGAGACAATCCGGGCTTACTGTTCAAGGGTGAAGCGGATTAAGAGTGTGGGGGGGCGTTCGGGCTGGAAGCTGGGTAGTTTCTTCAAGCGAGGGGGGGTTTTAGGAATTGAGGCTGAGGGGCTTTTCAGGCTTGAGGTGGTGTACTTAAAGGATCATGGGACTTAGTAACTAGGGTTATTCCTATAAGGTCACTGTACTTCTAACTACTTATATCCCCAATTAGGGTACTTATAACCTTACTTACTAAGTCCCATGATCCTCCAAGTAGAGATGTTGGTTTGTGGAGGGCTTCATTGGCTTAGTTTTGCGAGGCTTGTGGCCTCCAGATTCAGGGGTTCCGATATGGGAGCTTCCGAAAACAGGGGACCCTATTGTAGTACCTTCAATAGTAGGATCCTAACTATAAGGACCGCAAAGTACGGCGGAAACTCCCAGATCGGGCTGGGGTGTGGGGTTTAGGCTCGGGCTGCTAGTGAGGCTTGGATGCCATACGTACAGTCGTTGAAGCGCTTGTTCGCGATGAGAGGTGTCTCTGAAGGCACTCGTCTAAGACCACCTCGAACTACCAAGACCCATTTTTTATAAGGTCGCGAATAAGTAGGCTATCGTAGATTAGGGTAGGTCCTAGGCGCGACTTGTTTCTGTCAGATCGAAGATGAGCAAAGATCCTTCGACTCAACAACTGCTTCCTCTTTTACCGCATTCTGCAGACTCTTGGGCATCGAGTATATGTCGGGTCTGAGAAAGCGTTCGAAATGTCTGAACATTACAAACCCTAAACCCCAAAACCCTTCACTAGACCCTTGGTGCTTAGTAGAACTACCCTAAACCCTAAACAACCCCTCCCCCCCCCCCCCAACCTCGCTGGCCGACAAATTCTCTCCCGAGGGAAGGAGTCTGAGCCTGGGTGGGTGCATTGAGGCGTCAAGGGCTTAGGGGTTTA